CACAGTTCTTGTGAGAGGGGTGAAGGTTGGTGATCTTCACACACGGATGTGGGGGGGCCCTTCAAACATGCCACAAGGGATGCTAATCGTTATTTAGTTTACGACTACTTACTGATGATTACAGTAGAGATGGATATGTCTACTTAATCAAGCATAAGTCAGAGACTTTTGAGAGGTTTAAAGGAGTTTAAACAGAAGTCGAGAATCAATTGGGCAGGAACATTAATATGCTTCGATCCGATCGAGGGGGTAGTATCTTGTTCAGAGTTCCTCGACTATCTTAGGGAATGTAGGATTGTCTCACAATTGACACCTCCCAGGACACCGCAGTTGAATGGTGTAGCTGAGAGGCGTAATTGAACCTTGTTGGATATGGTTCGTACCATGATGAGTCGAGCTTCGCTACCAATATCATTTTGGGGGTATGCCTTAGAAACTGCCGCCCATATCCTTAATCTAGTTCCCCACAAAGAAAGTTGCCAAAACTCCTCATGAGATGTGGACTGGGAAAGTACCCAAACTAGACCACATAAGATTTGGGGTTGCGAGCTTTCGTGAGACGCGAGACTCATGATAAGCTCGAACCTCGAATGAGAGGTGTCTGTATCATTTCATCGGCTCCCCACATAAATCCTTTGGTTACCCTCTTCTACAGACCTAGTGAGAATGTGGGTCTTTGTAGCGAGGAGGGCTTTCTTTCGAGAGAGAGAGAGTCATAAGCCAAGGAGACAGTGGGAGGCAAGTTACCTTGAAGAAATTCAATAGTTAAGTGGTGAAGAACTTCAAACCCTAGCACTCAACTTGAGGAGGAAACTCCTGTTGAGCCAATTGACAAGTCTGTACCTCTGAGGCGTTCCACAAGGGTTAGGAATGCACCTGAGCGTTACTATGGATTCCATATTACTGCGGAAGGTGATACACTTATCAGTGATGAGACACTGATAGGTCTGGATGAACCTAACAGTTACGCATAAGCCATGGCATGCCCTGAGTCGCCAGTGGAAAGAGGCAATGCAGCGAGATACATTCCATGTATGACAATCAAGTTTGGAACTTGGTTGAGAATGTACCAGGTCGTAAGACTGTATGGTGAAAATGGATCTTCAAAGAAGAAGACCGACATGGATGGTAAGGTACACACTTATAAGGCACGACTGGTTGCAAAGGGGTTCTCACAAACTCTGGGAGTTGATTATGATGAGAATTTTTCTCCAGTGGCCAAGATAAGTCTATTAGGGTTCTGTTAGCCATAGCCCATTCATACTATGAAATATGGCAAATGGATGTCAAAACCGTTTTCCTTAATGGAAAAGTTGGCTGAGGATGTTTACATAAGTCAGCCAGAGGGGTTTTGTCAAACAGAGTACCCTAATAGAGGTGTGTAAGCTTGAGAAATCCAGTCATTGGTTAAAGCAAGCACCTCGCAGATGGAATCGTCTTTGCTTGGATGAGAAAGTCAAGGAATTTGGCTTTTGTAGGAGTGAAGATGAATCTTGTGTATATGTCAAGGCTAGTGGGAGTATAGTTAGCTTTTTGGTATTGTATGTGGATGACATACTACTCAGAGGAAATGCATCCCACTCTGCAGGAAGTAAGTCCTGGCTTGGGAAGTGTTTCTCTATGAAGGACCTAGGAGAAGCTGCCTATATTCTAGGGATAAGGATCGGAGAGACCGGAGTAAAAGACTATTTGGACTTAGTCAGAGTACCTACTTGGATAAGGTGCTGAAGAGATTCGGCATCAGGACTCCAAGAAAGGAGAGTACCCATCCAGAGTACGCCAGATTGAGTAAAGACACAAAGCCCTAGTACTGAGGCTGAGATAGCAGAAATGAGTCGAATACCTTATGCTTCGGCTGTAGGATCGATCATGTATGCTATGACTGTACTCGACCTGATGTAGCCTTTGCTTTGAGCATGGTTAGCAGGTATCAGGGGAACCCTGCAAGGCAACACACTGGACTTGCGAAAAAGAATATCCTCAAGTACCTACGGAGGACTAAGGACTGGGTTTCTTACCCTCGGTGGGAGTGAAGACTTGAGAGTTGTAGGGTATAGTGATGCTAGCTTTCAGACTGATAGGGATAATTTCCGCCTCTCAGTCAGCTGGGTCTTTACCTTAAATGGAGGAGCAATTTCTGGAAGAGTTCCAAGCAAGAGATAGTGGCTGATTCAACTTGCGAATCAAGAGTATATAGCAGCTAGCGAGGCAGCAAAGGAGGCGATATGGCTGAAGAACTTCATTGGAGACTTGGAGTTGTACCAGCTATTAAAGAGCCAATGGAAATTTTCTGTGATAGTGAAAGTGCAGTTGCCTTAGCCAAGGAACCAAGGGATCACGGGAGATCCAGACACAACGACAGAAATACCATTTCATCAGACATCGAATAGAAGAAGGACTCCTCGTGGCAAGAGGGTATCATCGGATGAGAATCCAGCAGATCCCCTCACGAAGGGACTGACTCGGGTTAAGCATCTCCAGCATGCTCGGAGCATAGGGCTGAAGGATGAATTAGATTTAGTAGTTAGATAACCTTGAAATTTGTAAAGTGGTAATTGACATTAGATGATAATAAAAGGTGTTTTATTTTGAGTAAGTTTGCTATCTCTTGTCGATCGTTTACTATATTTCTTTTGCATGTTTTGACTTCCAGAATAATTATGTTTGGTATCTCAATTATTCGAACTCCACAGTCGGTCATATGTCGGAAGTAGGTATGAATCAAGACTGTCATGATTGGTTGCAGAGGTCTAAGTTGTTGGACATGGCTACAACACTCATGAGTGCTCATAAGTTCTGAGCATTGGACTCAACCCACGCTCACTGGAATCACTTCATGGAATTTATCTCGAGTGATCGCGAGACGGTAATATCATATAAGTCTTCAAACCTAGAGATATGATTTGTTACTTATGAGTTGGTTATGCATTGATTGTACGTTAACGCATTGGTAACTCGATGTTATAAAAATTGCTTTTTGTGTATAATTCAATGAGTGGTAGAAACTAACATATGAGTCGAAGTTTATCTGTTCCTTCTTGGATTAGAAGCTGATATCTGGGCCCCTCGATGATTTTGTTTTGACCTATGTACCGGGCCCGGTCAGAACTAAGTTGATGTGTTCAATTAAATTCTTTGTCAAACAAATCGGAAATCGGGAAACAAACTGTTGGACACAAAGTAAGACACTGTTCCATGTATTTGTCCGGCTGATATCTAGAACAGAGGATTATATGATCACTTATCTTAAATGGCGTATCATCATCTTCTCAGTTCCGAGAGACCTTGAAAGAGCTACGATGCCGATCGGTTCCTGAAGTATTGCAGTTATAGTTATTAGACTTATCCAAGTGGGAGACTGTTGGATAAGGTGTCTAGTCCATAACTATTTCTGGTATGTACTTGAACCGACCCGGCATGGTCCATTTGGGTTGCATGGCACCATGTAATTGGATAAACTAAAATGAGAGAATAAAACACTTAGGTTTATTAATAATTATTTTAAGTTCTAATATATTAATAATAATTATTAATTAGTTTGATCAAGATTAATTCAGAATTAATTAAGTGATCAAAAGATAACTAATTAAACATATATGGTAGATTATGTAAATCTTCCATATCTTATATAGTGGGCTAAGAGGCTCCATGGATTATCAAGTTGGGTTTCCACCCATAGGATGCTCCCTGGATGCTCCATGGGAGTTACAAACCCATGGGTCATGGAATGAAGAGTCATGACACATTAGGGTTTACATGGTATAACCCTAGATGTGTCAACACTATATAAGAAACCCATTCTCCACCAAAATTGGCTAGACATAAGAAACAAGAGGGCTAGGCCGATTTTAGAAGTGTGTATTCTCTCTAAAGTCATTCCAAAAGCATTTGGTGTTGTGTGAAGCATTTGAGGCATCACACTTGGGTGCTAGGCTCACAAGGTTCAAGGATCATAAGCAACAACAAGACAAACATAGATCCAAGGTTATTAGGGTTGCATGTACACTTAGGAAGTGTTAGAATGCTCAAAACCCATCAGTAACATCTCATTTGTCAAGTAGCTTCATATGCAACCCTCGGATTTGAATTATGTCACTTTTGGCCTTTGGGTTGGAAGGAAGTGGCAAGAAAGGACCAAGCATGAAAATTTGGCAACTGGGTGAGTACGTCCAGCGTAGAAGTTTAAATGATCGCGGGTGTAGGAGGAGTACGCCCAGCGTACTCCCAGAGACCCGAAACCCTAATTTTGGGGCTAACCACTATATAAAGAACATTATGGATCAAACCCTAGCCTCCTTATCAGCCACCCCAACCTCAGAGAAACCCTAAAACGTCTCATCCTTTCATCTTTGGGTGATCTTGACCTTGAGAAGCTCATTTTGGTGGTGTAAGCTTGGAAGAGGAAAAGAAGAAGTTGGCAAGGAAGAACTTGGGAAGTTGGAGCTCATAGATCTGGGATAGCATCATCATCTGGAACTCCTTGGAGGTATAAAGTTCATAACTTTACCTAAGAGTGCTTAGATCTAGTAAGGTTTAGTTTTGAAGTAATTTTGGTCCAAATGTGGAAGCTTTTTAGCCCAAATCTGATTTCCAGGCCAAGGGTTGCCACCCCTGGTGCTAAATGAGTCCCTAAGGCAGAAAGTTGTCACCTTGATGGTCTTAATGGGTTTATGCAAGAGTTAAGACCATCTTCATGGAAGTAATACATCATTTTTGGAGTTTGGGCTTGTTTGGGATAAGTAAAGTCACCAAGTCAGTGACTTTATGGATTAGGACGATGAAAAGGACTTGGATCTGTAATTGTAGCTCCTGAATCGGAGTATTTAAGCACTTAATGAGAAATGGACTTAACAGAGGAGTACGCTGAGCGTACATGCAGGTACGCCCAGCGTACGTATCATTTGGAAACCACGCTTAGCGTACATAGGAGTACGCCCAGCGTACTCATCAGATATGGGCCTTGCGAGTTTTGGGCCTCGGTTTGGGCCATGCGGGGGATTTTGGTCCTTTGGGCCTTAGTGGGCCATCCAAAGTCAGTTAATGTGGGCCAAGAAGATGTTTGGGCTTGGGGTAAGGCCCATTAGGAGGATTGGGCCCAATTTAGCAAATTGGGCCATTAGTGGACCACTAATGGGCATGGAAAGCCTACCTAGTGTTGTGTCTTGTTTTGGTATTGGGCCTTGGCCCAAATTGGAGAAAAGACAAAATGGACATGATGGACTGCATGGACCCCCTTAGTCAAGATTGTTATGTTGTGTAATGACTTGGTATTTATCATGTGATAGTTCGGGATTTTCGGTGAGATAGCGATTCGGGAGTAGATACTTCAGTTCAGATCGACATTGCGAGGTGAGTTATTCTCACTATATCAACATCGTCTAAGGCACCAAGGCCGTCCCTTTATCGGATTTGTATCCGTGTATTTGCTTGATATGTTATTGATCTGCTAGATCTGCATCCTGGTAGTTAGGATAGTATTATGTTAGTGACCTGGTTCAAGTCGTTATCCTGGTATATAGGATGATGCTATATTAGTGACTGGATAGGTTGGTATCCTGGTTATAGGATGGTTGCTGTGATAGTGATCTGTTAGATCGGTATGATTATCTGTTATATATATGCTTAGCGTATGATATTTATGTGCACATGATTGTTTGACTGATATGGGGGTTGGGTTGAGACGGGTCCTGCTTCTTCATGTTGTAGGCCAACATACTCAGGGCAGACCAGATAGACTGCAGGCCCAGGAGGGCACCTAGTCAGGCCGAAGGCCCAGCCAGCGGTCCGGATAGGCTGAAGGCCCCGAGAGGGCGGTCCAGACGTGCCGAGGCTCGGAGAGTGGGCCAGATAGACTGAAGGCCCGGTGTGGGCGGTCCAGTCATACTGTAGACTCAGAGAGTGGACCAGGAGGACTGAAGGCCCGGTGCGGGCGGACCAGTCACACTGTAGACTCGAGATGCATGGTTGTTCTGTGTTTGTTATATGATATGTTTATGGTTGTATGAGGTTGGTATCTTGGGGGTAACTCACTAAGCCTTCAACCTTACTGTTTCAGTTTATTGTTTCAGGTTCAGCGGATGACCGCGGGAAGGCGAAGGCGTGACCGTACACTTCCTCGATTTATGATTATGATTCCTGGAAACTCTGATGTTTAAACTATTTTGAAAACAAATTGTAATAACTTAATGGTTTTATATGATTTAAAAAGTTTTAAATTGGCTCGAATTTTATGGATGTTACACACGCCAGATGGCGCTCCGTGTGGACTGCTGAATCATTTGACGGCCTCATGTGGTAATTTCACATATTTTTTGATGTTTTTTTATATCTAGAAATTAAAAAGTGTAAAGAAATATATGAACTGGATTCCTATTTCTAAGTGCATTATATTATTGATGCTAATAGTTGTTCTCTTTATACGTATCACCTCATATTATGACTCGGAAGGAATAATCAGAGATTTCTCAAAACTAAACATCCATCTTAAATACTAATCTTTATTTATTAATTATATAATTCTCTTCTGTTGAATAACAATAAATCCTTGTTAGGTTGGAGCCACAGGGAAACCACTTACAAATGTGATTGTTATTGGTATTGGTGGAAGCTTTCTTGGTCCATTGTTTGTGCACACTGCTGTTCAAACTGGTCAGTTTCTTCAATTCCATGTTCTTATTATTAATTAATATTCTTTTTGTATTGTGTTGCATTATAAAATAAAATAAAATAATCTTATTATCATAATTTCTTTTAATAACTTACAGATCCAGAAGCTAGTAAATCAGCTGGAGGACACCAACTTCGCCTGTAAGTATACATATTTTGTAATAAAGTTCATAAAGCCTTACAAAATCATGAAATTTGTTATCAATTTATGATTGAGATGCTTGTAATTAGTCAATGATTTTACCATATCTTGTTTTTTTAACCTCCAATCTGTGTATTTTCTTCATTCTCGCAAAATGTTGATCCAGTTGATGTTGCAAAAAATATTACAGGCTTGGATCCCGAGACAAATTTAGGCTCATATTTTCGTTTGTAATTCAATTTATTTCAAACAACATTTTTTTTACATAATTAATGTTATTTTCTTCTACCACTGCAGTTGTAGTAGTTTCTAAGACTTTTACTACAGCTGAGACTATGCTGAATGCAAGGACATTCATGGAATGGATCTCATCTACTTTAGGGTAACTACACCACTTTTTGTCTTCCTATTATACCCTTACTCTTTATGTTCTCTTACATAACTTGGTTGCATTTTCTTTGTTGTTTAAGGCCACAAGTTGTTTCAAAGCATATGGTTGTTGTTAGCACAAATCTCAAGGTTCTTTTTTTCTTTCTACCTATTACAACTCATAAATTATTAAGTATTATTCATCATTCTAATTTTTTTTATATGCTTTTCTTTGAAATCCATTCATGAAATGGTAAGTTTAAAATCTCATCTTTAAGAGTGAATTAAAAGAAACATAACCTTAGTCATATACCATGCACATGCTATTGGTAGGACTAGGAGGCGTAAAATAGTCCAATAAAAGACTTTAGCTTTATATTACATTCTTTTAAACCAAAACCTCTCAATTTGTGTTCGTCTTCCATATCACATGAAAGATTAGTTTTATTCTTAATAAGCAGCCCTCAGTCTTTCCTGTTGAATGTCCTTGAAGTCATTCTAACTAATACTTTCCAAAAGACAATTATACCCTTGTTTATTCTTACATGACTAAATTCATGTCCAGGGGCTCTTCGGTCTGTTGTGTACATTCTCATTCAATATATATTTTATTTTTTTACCATTTTTATCTTGTTGATAATTTTTTTTTTGGGCAAAGAATGATAGGAAATCTGCAACTATGGAAAGAAAGATAGGCAAGCTGTGTGAATCCTGAAAACAATTTTACACAAAAGATACTAAGGTAAATTGTTCTTTTTACTACTTTTACTTTCATATTTTTCAGCATTTGATTTCCAGAGTTATTGATAAGGTTGGTTGCATGCGATCAAAAAAGGGCCAATGGCACTAGAGACCATGAAGGTTAGTTCTATAATTTTCTTCCTAATTTAAAATTATGCATCCATTTCTATAAATGCTTATTGTGCTATTAGTTTTGGTGTGGTAGATCAAACCCCGAAAGAGAAATTTCTGAAGACCAATATGCAAATATCACACCCCAAAAGAGAAATTTCTGAAGACCAATATGCAAACAAGGTATTTTCTTTCACCAACATGTTTTTTCATATATTTTTTGGTCGGAATCGGAATCCAATTCCAATCTAGTCCTGCATTTAGTTTAGCTTCCAACAAAAACCATGTCTCCTTCCATTGCAGGAAAAAGTAAGTAGAACTTTGTTAGCGTAATTCCATGGGATTTAACGGGAATCGGAATCAAATTCCATTATGATCCTTCTTTCGGATGCAAGATGTATGTGGAAATGCAAAATATGAGATGAAATTGAGATTATGGTACATTATACTCGGAAATAAAAATATCAATCAATATTAAACTTTTGATATTTGATGATTTTGATCCTTTTGATAAAACATTGATATTTGATGTTTTTGGATGTTTTGTTAAGATTTGATAGTTGATTTTGGTATTTTAATATTAGTGTTTGGTTTTGGATTGTATAATTATTTGATGTTTTTGGTATTTTATTATTGTTTAGTTTGGGATTGTATAATTATTTGATGTTTTTAGTATTATTTTTTTTGTTTTAGATTTGTAATAAACAAATTAATATTATATATTTGTAAGGGATCAGCGACGGCAACAAAAAAAATCTCATCTAAATTTTGCTAGGGATCAGCGACGAAATATAAAAAGACAGGTTTAGAGGTTTGCTAGGGATTAGCGACAGAATATAAAAAGACAGATATAGAGGTTTGCTAGGGATTAACGTTAATAAGGGAGAAATGTGCGATGGATATTCCGTCGCTAAAGCCGTCGCAAGGAAAATCATGTTTGTCGCTAAATATCTCGCTAAGCCATTAGCCACGTTTTATTTGGCTATGGAGTAAGTTTGTCACAGATCCGTCGCAAAAGACCTCTAGTTACGGAATAGCGACGGATTCATCCGTCGTTAAAACCCATGTTTCTAGTAGTGATAAATCGATACACAAGTTACACAAAGTACCATACAATGTATATAATAAACAAAATAAGACTATAGTAAATAAACATTGTTCAACACACCACCTCAGTTGGAGCAAAGAGCTCACAGATGTTCAAACTGCTCCAGATGTCTAGAAATAGTTGTATAAGATATATCTTTCTAAAAATATATGCAAACTGATGAGTCGACGGTATGTGTAACGCACAAACCTAACCAAATTGCAACACGTTCCCTCATAAAATGCTAATCAATTTCTACATGTTTGGTTCTTTGTTGTTGAACTAGGTTAGAATCTAAGTATAAGGCACTCACATGGTCACCAAAAAAACAGTTGTTATAGAAGAGAATGGACATTATAACTCTAGAAGCAGTTGTCGAAGCCAAGATGTAACACTCGTTTTCAAGAATGAATCAGTCGAAGACTTATAGGGGTCAAAGATAAGCTTTTCAGAGAAAACCTTATGCCACGATGTTGTGCATGCAATGATATGACATGACATGGCATTAGATGGAAAGCATATTTTGTTGGACATCACGACGTGGCAAGAAGGATGCGACGACGTGGTGGCTGTTGCAGCCCAAACCCATTACTTTTATGGTTTTTCCCATATTTAAGGCTAGTAACCCAAAGATTAGGGCATCCTCTTCAGCCTCTGAGGGCTTGATCTTGAGGTTATTTTCTTGATTTGGTGAAGCTTGTGACCGGAGGAACTTCTTCTTGGTGTAAGGAAGTAAATAACAAGTCTAGATCCACCATCTTCTTTAAGTTTCTGACCTCTGGACATATAATACTTGCACCGTGACCCTAATCTTTTGAGATTCATGTTATGGTTATTATTGGTTGATTTTTGTCCCTTCATGGATGCTCTTGAAGTTTGGGGAACTCCAGAGCTCATTATAACACCCCTGTGGTCATGGACTTTTGATTAAGTGAGAGAAGGGTCATAGTTTGAGTGTTCTTGATCCCATGCACAAGTTTTGGTCATATAATGCACTTAGAATTGTAGATCTTGCTTTAGGTTGAGGTCCTAATGGATAAAATTGTAAACTTTATCCATTAAGTCATTGAAAAGGATTAGATCTAAAGTTGTGGGCTTAGATCTGCAATGATTAAGCACTTAATGAAGGAAATGGCAATTTTCCAGAAACCACGACATGGCCAAGCGCTTGCCACGTCGTGGTGAGGTTCAGCCTTGCAACCGTTTTGTCTGGACTTACCACGACGTTGACAAGAGATCACCACATCGTGGTGGCGGTTGACTTGGTTGATCGTTAAATTTTGTTGACCATTGGCTGTTGAATTTGACCAGTTTGACCTTGGGTCAAACTTGAGGGATTTTTCTTGTTGTCTGATGATTTGTCATATGTTTGGTGTTAGTCGGTCCACGGTTCTAATAAGAGCAAGGAGCGAGAGTGTTGTTGCGCCTCTCCGGATCTTAGGTTCTGGTGAGTTTTCTCACTATATTATGTATGACATTATATATCCTTTGCATGTCAAGTGATAACTCAATAACAAAAATATAGTGGTAAATAATTATTAGCATAATTATTTAGGTAATTAAGAGAAAATGATAGTAATTATGGCTATTAAACCCTAAAAACTGTCACCTATAATGATCGGTGAAATTCGATCGTTTGAATGGATTATAACCAAAGGTATCTTAGGCATTATATAAAGCTCGAAAAACCCTATGAAAACCCCACTGTAACTGCAAGAAAATGTTGAGAATCAATGAAGAAATCGGGGTTATAAGTTCTTGAAGATTTTTGGAGTTTTCTAACAAATTATGGTATGATTGTTTGTATTCAGCTCGTTGTAGTTGATAGGATAGGTTTATATGGTCACATTACGCGTTATGCTTCCATGTAGTATCTCCATTCGACCACTAGTAGTGCAATTGATAAAGATTTTTGAGGTGTTTAAATTTTTCGTAAAGAGCTTGAATTTATATAGATTTGATTTCTGAAAACTATGGGTACATGTGAGTAAGGCGTGGAGATGGTTAATGGTAGTTTTATAAATTAATTTTACATATAGCTTCAAAGTATTTAAAAATGCAGAAAATAGTGATTTTTTCGAGTAGAGAAGAGATGATTTTCGGATATGTATCTTTTAAAATATTTAATATACAAAAATAAGTCAAAACGTTTTTGTAGCCCAACTGGCAATGTTGTAGGCATTTCCACTTAGCCTTTTGTTCGAGGCCTGTTGGCGTATCCTGATTTTTATTTTACTCGTTTTAGACTTTAGAAATATGAAATTTTAAGAACAGTATCTCTGGTTTTAATGAGCTGATAATTCTTTCCATGTTACTTAATTCAGAAAGTTTTCACAAATAGTCCCTGAATTGTTAACAACTTGACAATATTAATTTCTTTTAAATCTCATGTGTTATGATGGAAACGGAAGTATCGAAAAATGGTTTTATAAGCACGTTGGATATTATTATTATTATTATTATTATTATTATTATTATTATTATTATTATTGTTGTTGTTGTTAAACTATATTTTCTTGTATTTTAAAGGTTTAAATGTTTTGATTTTGAGTATAATTTTTATGGGTCAAACCTTATTAATATGGGAATTCGAAAAAGAAAAAAAATATAAAATATTTTAATAAAAAAATTAATACGAATGTTGTAATTAACGTAATTGAATGGTTATTAGTATACCGAACAAGACACGTGAAAAGTTGAGCCAAAATGAACTCATAGGATTTTTTCCTAGGATTGTAGACTTAGAAAACTTATTAGTGGAATGTAGGGAGAAAGTAGCATGACAAGACTCAATTAAGACCTAACGACAACGAGGTGAGTTTTTCGTGTTCTGTTGTCACACCCCCAAACCAGAATGGTGAAAACGTTCGCGGGTGGATGATGTCATGCATAGTATCATAACAATTGCATCATAGTAATCGAAGTAAACACAACCATTACATTGAATATATATAAAAGGTATTTACATCTGTTTGATCCATATTCATATACATCAAAAGTATAAC